TGTCCTACACTGTTGCAGTGCTGGGAGCCGACCCAGCATGCACCGGGAAGAACACTCTAAATTTTTTTAAATCATTCTAATCTACTAGGTAAAGTCTCTTAAATCAGGAAGGAGCACTAGGAGGTTTGAACACAGGACAGTGCCAACAGCCGTTCCTACCAGCATCACGCGGACAGAATCTGCCATCACGGTCACGTAAGATTTCAAAATATCATAGTGAAACCCTGGCATCAGCAGTCTCCGATGCTGGAACCACTTTGGCCCATGTAAGATCAACAATCCTTGCCCTATGGAGGAGCACAGTGCAAAAGAGCTGGTTAGATCACTTCCTACTAAGCAATGGATGATTTCAGGTGGCATGGTACAATCCAGCCATAATATGAATGAATATCTGCTCGGTTCTATCCAGTATATTCATCAGAAGGATATATACATCAACAAGAGGTACGTAGAGGTCTCATCAACTCATCTAGATATTTGCCTAGTTTTACAACAGGCTACATAAAAAGCACTAGTGAAGTTCGTAGAAACTAAAATTTCATACAATGACTTGTGTGGCAAAGTTCCTCCTCTACCTTGGTGGGTCCTGCGCTTATTGGTGGATTTGCTCACCTCAGTGATCTTCCCCTCTGGTGGAACCCACAGTCTAGGTCAACTCCTCCTGTGTCTGATCAGGAGTTGGGAGGTTTGGGGGGAACCCGGGCCCGCCCTCTACTTCGGTTCCAGCCCAGGGCCCTGTGGATTGCAGCTGTCTATAGTGCCTCCTGTAACAGCTGCATGACAGCTACAACTCCCTGGGCGACTTCCCCATGGCCTCCTCCGAACACCTTCCTTAGTCTCACCACAGGACCTTCCTCCTGGTGTCTGATGATGCTTGTATTCTTAAGTCCTCCAGCAGCACACCCTCGCAGCTCCTTGCGCCTCTTGCTCCCAGCTGCTCACACACGCACCACACTGACTAACTGGGAGGCTTTTAACTAGTTCCAGACAGCCCTTGATTGGCTTCAGGTGTCCCAATCAATGTAGCTATCTCCATTGCCTTCTAGAAGGATCTTAATTGGCCCCAGGTGTCTTGATTAACCTGGAGCAACTGCCATTTGGTTACCATGGTACCAGGGATTTGTTTAACCTGGGGCTAACATACCTGTTCCTCACTACTTTACCGTAGCCATCTGGCCTTGCCCCATCACACTTGTTTGTACTGCTTTATATACTATACACTGAAATGTAAGTACAATATTTATATTCCAATTGATTTATTTTATAATTATATGGTAAAAATGTCAAAGTCAGCAATTTTTCAGTAAGTGCTGTGACACTTGTATTTTTATGTCTGATTTTGTAAGCAAGTAGTTTTGAAGTGAGGTGAAACTTGGGGATACGCAATACAAATCAGACTCTTGAAAGGGTTACAGTAGTCTGGTAAGGTTGAGAGCCACTAATCTAGCCCAGTATCCTATTTTCCAACAGTGGTCAATGCCAGGTGCTTCAGAGGCTATGAACAGAACAGGGCAATTATCCAATGGCAGTGTCGTCTACTCCCGGCTTTTGGCAATCAGAGGTGAGGGACACCCAGAGCATAGAGTTGCATCTGTGACCATCTTTGTTATTAGCCATTGATGGACCTATCCTCCATGAACTTATCTATTTCTTTTTTGAACCCAGTTAGACTTTTAGCCTTCACAACTTATCCTGGCAATGAGTTCCACAGGTTGACACTGTGTTGTGCGAAGAAGTACTTCTTTTACTGAGTGACATCATTAAACACCCTGGATTTCACTTAGAGCTTTCTGGAAAACCATTTTTTTTCCCCTGTGAGAAATTTCAAATGAAAAATCTTTGTTTGAAAATTTTTAATCAACAATTTTCAGTTTTCCTGTGGGAACCAAACCAAAATTCATTTTGAATCAACCTTTCTGAAATTAAATGTAAGCTTTCAATTTGTTTAGACTTAAAATGTCATTTTGTTTCAACTAAAACAACCAAAACAAAATGATATTTTAAGGCTAAGTAGAACATGTTTCACTGAGAAATTTCCTGCTGAAAGCTGAAAATTTGTGTCAGAATTGATACTTTTCCGCACAAATTTCAGTTTCAACAAGGCCATATTTTTTTGAGGAGAGAACTTTCTGTACAAAAAAGTTCAACCAGGTCTAATTTCAATCCAGACAAGGAAATTCAAGGTTAAGGCTCAAAGATGATCTGATGCACCTCTACCTCGATATAACGCTGTCCTCGGGAGCCAAAAAATCTTACCGCGTTATAGGTGAAACCACCTTACATCGAACTTGCTTTGATCCACTGGAGTGCGCAAACCCACCCGAGCACTGCTTTACCACATTATATCAGAATTCTTGTTATATCAGGTCGCGTTATATCGGGGTACAGGTGTACTTGTTTATATTTGTCACATATTACCATATAATATCATGTGGAAAATATTGTATCTAATGTGCTCTGAATTAAACCTCTGAAATATCTAGTTACAATGATGACATGAGTAAAAGGATGGAGTTTTAGCCCCGTTTCTCAATCTGAACTCTGATTTCTCCACTTTCCTGCATTTCATTCACAGTTTCCAGTTACTGTCACAGTCGTTTTTGTGAGTTAGCTATTAAATACTATCGCTCTGAATCTATGTGGCACAACAAATGGTGCGGCTTCCCTCATGAATATCACCAGCAATACTGTTACATGAGGTAAATGAGAATGAAATATGATAGTACAAACCAATCCAGGGAACCAGGAAACTGTATATCCGAAGAGACTTAGGGTCTGTAGAATTCAATAGAGAAGAGAAATATGTTATTAGGGTGAAATAATACAGAAGGTGAATAAGGTGCTACCCACAGTAAGGCATCAAAATCTAGTCCTATGTTAGTCAAACAATTATTAGAATTTCTTCCAAACTTTATTCATGCTCTCGTTAGTAGCAAAATCTGTATTGGGAAGGACAATTTCCACACAGGAAAACTGTTACATTTTATATTAAGGATCCATTCATAAATTCTAAAGGGTTAATAAATGTCTGACAGACATTGTAAGCATGTAACACAGAGGAGTAATATGTGTTGTTATAGGGGGTTATAGCCGCATCAGAAGAAGGCACAATAGATGGCTATAAGCAACCTACTGACCTCTTGGACTCCTCTATAGCAATTAACATGCCATTTAGTAATACATCAATACTTTCTAATCATTGACTATTTATAAATGGAGCCGTAGTAAGAAAAGGTGACCACAATTCTCTCTATTTAGAGCATGCTCTTCTCCCTCATTCATCCATCTATCCAGATTCATTCCCATCACCATAGATTCAGAGCACTGGGGAAAGACCAAATTGGGTTGGTTATGCGTAAAACCCCTTCCAATCAATCCATCCCCTCCCAGTCTGCATTTTCCACCTTGTGCCTGCTCAGACGTGCTCTTTCCTTTAGGAATATTGACTCATTAGCCCCCGATTCTCATAACTTGAGTGTTGTCCCTGAGTCAGGTCCCATCTGCACTGAAAAAAACATAACTCAAGTGTGGTGGTGCTTTTAGCTGAATACGCTTGGCCCATCGAGGAAGAAGCTACAGCTCTAGTGAACACAACCTGTCATTTTCCAGGCATGTGCAATGAGCCAACCAGTCTGGAGTGTGGGCAATACAGATTGAAATGGACATGAAGGGCTGCATTTTCACACTGGTCTAAATAGATCTACCTTTTTCCACTCACAAAGTTGCAGGCGTAAATAATTGCAGGCCCTGTGTATCAGGAGCCAGAACCTGCTTAGCTGGTGTAAATCACGTTCAGTGCTTGGGCTTCAGCACTTGTTAATTGCTCTTCGACGGAGAGTGATCATTTTCTGTGTGAGGATTGAAAACAGTTGATCAAAATGCTCACAAAGTACACTGATTTCATTCTGTGCCAGTTTCCATCTTAAAATAATGGCATTTTCTTTGAATAGATGCTTTTCACTTCACCCTTATGTAAATATCCATTTCTGAGACCTCTGCTTTACACATAATAGCATTGAGTGGCAATTGCAGTATGGAATGATATTTTGATCACTCAGATATAAGAGGTGTTATATTTTTGGACCCAGCAGAGAAGGAGATAGACACAAAGGGGGCTGCTAGTAACACAGCTTTGTGGTGTGCTTGCTTTATTGTTCTAGCTGAAAAACTGAAACTAACAAGAAAGTGGGCGGGTAGCACTGGGAAAGAGAGAATGCTCAAACATTTAAAGGGACAGGACATCACAAGACGCAGTGTCTTTACCTCCTCTGCTGAATACCGCCTTAGCATATTCAGGGTGGTTGATCCACAAGAATCCTAAGAAACCGCCAACCCAGACGGGGTGACAGTGTGGGTATTGTTCTGTCCAGGACGCTATATTGTCTAGTTCATCATCTTGTTGAAGCTGTGTTGTAAATTAAAGGTAGATGTAGTTCATGACAGATATTTAGCAGCACTATCTGAATGGGGAACAGTCTGGGGAGTTGATTAGTTAGATAAGAAAATAGTTAATAGGCCACGTATGTATACATGTCTGCATTTTAGCAATGCTAGGAATTAGGCTTTTAACGTCACTCGAAGTGCAGAGGTCCCCTGTTTGTTAGAAAGGCAGATTAAGGTGGGAGACTGTGGGTAAGGCCAGTGGGAACAATAAGAACTAGCCCAGACAATTGTTATTTAAGCAATTCCTCTTTCAACCCAGTCCCTTTCTCCCTGTTCTGCCTTCAGATACCCATCTGGACCCTGACCTCCACCTCCCATTATGTTTCCTCATCCCATCCCCAGAGAACACCTGGCCAAGTCTGTCCCGGGCCTTTGAGCTTTCCGTCTGAGTTCTCCCATGTAGCACATCTAGACTCTAGCTCAAATGAGCATTCAGGGACAGAGCCTCAGCTGATGGAAACCGGAATAGCTCGACTGAAGGCACTGGAGCGATGCCCATTTACACCAGCAGCTGGGATTTAAGCGCAGACCTGGCTGTGACTGACCACTTGTGTGAGGGTTGTCTAGGTTTTTGTCTTGTTGAAGCTGCATTGTTAGTTAGAGGGAGATGTAGTTCAAGACAGATCTTTAGCAGCACACTCCGAATGGGGAAGAGCCTTGCTACAGTCAGGGGACTGGATTAGTCAGAGGAGACAATAGCTAACAGGCCTGGGCAGGAATGCATGTTTGTATTTTTGTAAAGCTGCCATTGAACAAGCTTTTCAAGTCACTCCAAGTGTAGAGAAAGGCCAGTAGAGGTGGATGAATAAGGACAAGGCCATGGGGAATCAAAAGAACTAGCCCAGACAGGTAAGTGTTGCTTAAGGAATCCTTCCTTCAACTGGTCCCCTCGGTCCCAAAAGGAGAACTCTGAATGTCAACAGTCCTGCTAGTCTTAAATTGGATTCTTGGGGACAAGGAGCAGGTGGGGTTGGATGGGACGGGGATTCTGAGGGGGGCAGTCAGGGGGTGGGAAGTGGGAGGGGTCAGATAGAGGGTGGGGGCCAGGCTGTTTGGGGAGGCACAGCCTTCCCTTCCCGGCCCTCCATACAGTTTTGCAACCCCGATGTGGCCCTTGGGCCAAAAAGTTTGCCCACCCTGATCTAATAGTTGAGGTTGGTCTATGATCAGTTTACACTGATACACACATAGTACAGTCCCAATCGCTACCTTACTGGTTTCACACCCACACTCACCCACCCACCCACACACAATTACAGTCCCAACACACACACACACGCTACAGTCCCAGTTGCTACTTTACCTTTTGAAGGTGGCCATACAGCCAGTGGGTGGGAGGTCCTGGGAAACTTTTGAAGATTTTGAGCAGTTTCTGCCTCCTCCAGTACAGCTGGATTGCTTTCAGAACCACACAGGTGAGACACACCACGGCCATCAGCTGAAACATCTGGGAGACAGCTCCGTTCAGCCATACCCCAGAAGGGTTCATTACTGTCTCCAGTACAGATTTCATGCGGCTGCCCTCATTCGCAGGCACTGTATAAAAACCCCCAACCCTGTCAGCTTCTGCTGTGTTCTGTACTTCCTGTACGCACAGAGTCAAGCTTAAGCTTGTCTCTGTCACCAGCAGAAGCTGGTCCAATAAAAGAGATTATCTCACCCGCCTTGTCTCTATAGTAAATCCTATGAACTGCATCCTCCACTGCAGCTACGCTGATTCACAAATGCAGCAGATTTACCAAATGGTAGAACCCAGGGAAGTGGCCCAGGGAATTGAAGCAGTTTTGATTCCCCATGGACCCAGAGTAGTGGGTGCGTCCGTCTCCCCCCCACTCGCCACTAGGGAAGTGGCTGAACTATAGAGCTGGGAGATACTTCCCCCCTCCCCCCAGAAGGGGGAAAACATGGATGGTTGTATGGACAGAGGGCCGAGTCATGAAGAGGACTCTGTGGTTCCTGGAATCAGGCGTTTCTGCAGACAGAGAAGGCGGCGGGAGAGGCCTCACCAGAAGAGAGCTGAGAGAGCTAATTCCCAAGACAGCCAGCAGGAGGTGCCGCTCTGGTGAGTGAATCCCGTCATGGTGCCCCAGAGCTGCTGAGAGCTCCAAATGACAGAAACGTTATAGGGGAGGGAGCTATCTGCTGGCATTTCTTGGTGAGCCAAGGGAAATGACAGGATGGGCCAGGCCTCATTTGCGTTTCCCATATGTGGCAGTTTGGGGAACTGTGGTCAAAATTCAGTTACATTTTAAATTTGGGGGTAATAAAACACTGTTATCCCTGTGGGTAACAAAAGAGCAGGAGAACTGCACCAGCTATGCCTGCAATTATGGGTCACCCTAACCATCACTGCAGTCTGGCAAGGTTGGGTACTGGAGCCCCAACAATATGAGAGAAGGAGGAGGGGCTGCTACCCTAGGTGGCAATGCTATCTCTGGTAGCAAGTATTGTGCTCAGTGCTATGTCACTGACCTGTCTCTGAAGAGTGGAGGAGAGGGAGCTTTCATGAAGAAGACATGGCTTTGCAGACCGTGGCAGACACAGAGGTGTTATTGGGGCAGGTCAGCTGAGGAACTCTAATGAGGGTCCCTGCTACCCAACAATGAGAGGAGTAATCAGTGCAGCTGGGTGAACTGGTATAGCTCCCGGAGCAGATCGGGCAGCGCTTTCCACTGGGGCTGGAAATAGACCTGCCTGAATTCCGCTTAGCCGTGACAACAAACCGTGAGTAACGTTTTCTTTGTTTTGTACAATGGATTAAGTGCTTGTGAGGAGAAGTGTTGCCTGTCGGGGCACCTCAGGGGTATGTAGTTTTCCTAGGTTTCTGGGCAGGGGCATGAGTCAGTGTTGTTTGCTACATTTTCAGAAGGAACCTTAGACATTTGAACCAGCTCTTTGCACTGCTTGTAACCTCTGGTACAAGGGTCACACTGATTTTTGTTGCTGGTTTTCAGGAGTTATTGCAAGATGGGTTAGGTCCTTCTTTATTTACATCCCTGAGTCCTTTTCCTGTTCTCATCCCCTTGTTTTAGCATATCTTGTTCCTATCCGGGGATTAAACTGTTTGTTTTTATGTGGACTGAGATTCAATGTGTGACGGGTTAGATCACAGAAACCCGTTTTGGAGCTGCCACCCGATGTGCCAAGACTACTTCTACCCCTGCCTTCCCTGCCAGATCAGGACTCCAGCACCCTGTCTTGCTGAGCCAGACACTCCTGTCTGCTCCAACACAGACCCAGGGTCTGACTTACTTGCCCCAACGCTGCAGGTTTAATAGCAGACAGAACAAAGTGAATTACCAAGTAAAATAAAATGAAAGATGCAAATCTAAGCCTAATACAGTAATAAAACTGAATTATGATGAAATCTCAACCTCAGAGATGTTTCTTTCACAGACTGGACGTCTTCCTAGTCTGGGCACAATCCTTTCCCCTGGTACAGCCCTTGTTCCAGCTCAGGTGGTAACTAGGGGATTTCTCATGATGACTCCTCTCTTTGTTCTGTTCCACCCACTTATATATCTTTTGCATAAGGCAGGAATCCTTTGTCCCTCTCTGTGTTCCCACCCCTCTTTCTCACTGGAAAAGCACCAGGTTAAAGATGGATTCCAGTTCAGGTGACATGATCACATGTCACTGTAAGACTTCATTACCCACTTGCCAGCACACACATATACAGGAAGACTCACAGGTAAAACAGAGCCATCTGCAGTCAATTGTCCTGGTTGATGGAAACCACCATTAATGGCCCGCACTTTGCATAATTACAATAGGCCCTCAGAGTTATACTTCCTATTTCTAGTTTCAGATAGAAGAGTGATATATTTACACAAATAGGATGACCACACAGTAGATTATAAGCTTTGTAATGATACCTTTTGCATGAAGCATATTCCAGTTACATTATATTCAAATTCATTAACATATTTTCATAAAATCATATCGAGTGTAACGTCACACTCTCACTCATCATTAAATTCATTTAGTGCTTGCTTAGGACACTCATTGGTCATTGCTGGCTCAACCCACACAGATGGCCATACCTGACACACAGCCTTCAGACTAGATGTTGATAATGTTGTTTCTGAACTTCGGTTCTGATCATTGATGTTACTTTCTTGTCCTGCTCCCCTAACAACACAGGGTTTTGCTTCCAGAAAAATCTACTTGTCCTGAATCAAGTTGTCCCCCCATGGGTAGCCCCTGGGAACAGCAAACATCTCAGCATTTTATACTCCAGAATATGTCACTGAGTGGTTGAAGATTATGAATGTGTTTATTGAAATGCTCTCACCAAAACCTGGACAAGTAATTGAGTATTCAAAAAACACCAATACTCTTTATTAAGGGATTCAACTACAGAAGGGATTGACAGATCTATTCCTGACAAAACTGCACCCGATTTAGTAAATATGGATCTCCACGAGCAACTTTTATAACGCACAAATCTTGTTCTCTCTTGCAAATCCAGAGCAACGCCGCTGAGATCAATGGAATTATGCAGTGATTTACAACTGGGTAAGTGAAATCAAAATCTGGCTTTGACCATTGATTCAATCAGATTGCATTTAACAGGACAATTTTGCTCCCACCAATTTTTCCATCTTGGCCCAAAGATAAATGAGAATCTCACTTACTAGTGTGGAGAGGAAAATATTTCCCCCTGCTACTCTGGCAGACATAATATTAAGATCCTTGTTGCTTTGTAAGGTGGGATGGAGGGACTAGACAAAGGGCATTGGAAAAGTCAAAAGAGAGAGAAGTTTCTCTATACAGAATATAATGATGCCCTCACTCTACTGGATTTTAAAACCAGTGATTTCCTATTGTAGTTTCCTTTGTGTTCCTGTATATGGCCTATCTATAAACATCATTGACCAAATTCTCAGCTGGTGTATATTGGCATAACTCCAAGTCAATGAAGCTATGTCACTTTACAGTGGCTGAAGATCAGGCCCCATAAGAATGTCTCCACCCAGCCTCACCCTTCATTCTCCCCCACACACTAGTACGGTAACTTACTGTCCCTCAGATTTAAGATGAGCAAATCTACTAAGAAAGTCTTGTGACTTGCAAGCTTAGCTGAAAAAAATAGCAATGATCGTTTCAGCCTGAAATATCAAAGATATTAGGAAAGTTTCTTTAAATGCAAGTGTATTCCAGTCCTGGAGCGCAGGATAAGCTCAGTTACTTCATTAGGAGGTGTAGTCAGGTCAGGTGAGAGTTCGAAGCGGAGGAGGGTTAGGGCAAGAGCCACTTTCAACTCAACCATGGAAAACTGCTGCCCGATGCAGTTCCTGAGAAGAGAAGGAAAAACACTCAGTCTGTATGGGAGATTTATGGGCTAAGTCATTAATGGTCTGACCCAAACCCACTGGCGTGTAAAGAGAGGAAGCTGCTCTAATGGACAGGGAGTGAAGGGGAGTCTGGGTTCCATTACTGACTCTTCCACTGAGTCACGTCCCTGTCCTGTACCTCAGTTTCCCCTCCAAGCCTTTGACTATTTTGATTGTAAGCTCTTCCAGGCAGGGTCTACTGCCGGGGCCCCCACCTTGACTGACACATCGAGGACTGACTCGGGGACCTCCAGCGCTAAAAGCATGAGCTGATACATCTTGAGATAAATACCTGTGCTCTCTAAGTGGGATTGTAACAGATGAGTAGCCTCTACGGATTGGGCACAGAGGGGAACGTCTATCACACTCTCATCAGTGGTTACCCTGTCTCTTCCTATGTGTATGTACAGGTCCTAGCACAGTGGGGCCCCATAATATTGGTTAGTGCCTCTAGGTACTACTGTAATAAAAATAATGTATTTATAGTCAATGGACTTGGGATCAAGGACTAAAGGACAATCTATGATAATCATCACTTCTGAGAACAATTAGAGGTACACGAGGTAATTTTTTCTCCTCTCATTGTAGTTTCTGATTTTCTGGTTCTAGGTTTCACACAATTAATTAATTAATTAATACGTCACCGTGGTCCAGCAGAAAAGGGCATAAAGGCGAAGGAATGCTGATCAGACAAGTTGTCTTGTGAAAATCTCAGGGGGTCAAACACCTGGAAGAAAAGATCACTTGTACTCTAAAGACATTTAGTGACAAAGCTACTGCTGGGTTTGGCAACTGTGTTCACACAGCAAGGTCCATTTCTTCCCTCAGCTAGTTAGATGATCCCCCATCTCCTCTGTAACTGAGGGTACAATTGGGCCCCATTCTGCACTGACTGGCATCCAGGGGTAGGCACCACCATGTTGCATGACGGACACTTGACAAAATTACCGGACTGAGTGACGGACATTGGTGGGGGTGGGGGTTATGTCATTCAGTCATCATTCAACCTGCAAAATAATGCACAACTGTCCACACTGAAAAAAAAGCCCAGTAACCTAGCTAGCTAGTTAATAATAATAATAAATTCAACTCACTTTTAATGTTTTTGAATGTACCTCACCACGGCAGTCAATATTTTTTTTGTGGGATGGGG